GTCTTGTATGAGCTCTGTAAAGTACTCATATAAAGATGTTTTTCTACAACTAGAGTCAATGCTATTTCTTACCCAATCATACTTCGGCATATTAAAGTCACCCATTAGCCAGATGGTGCCACCTTTATGAGCAAACTTGGATAGTGGGATGTTCAGCTCGATTAAGCTTTGTTCATCTGCTTCCTCTGGTTTGTAATAAGTACCTACATACAATGATTTGCTACCATGCAAATTAACTTTGACCCATAATAACTCAGTCAGTTTCCAGCTCAGAGGCTTTTTACACTGTAAACTGTTTACGAACAAGTATAAATACGCCTCCCCCTCTGGTTGTAACTCTTCCCTACAAAATACTAGTACAGTTTAACCCATGTCTACTGGAAATACCTCACTGTCAGCTATATCAGGTGTCAACCATGATTCGGTACCTACCACAATATCAGGGGAAACAGTGGCTATAAGATTTTGGAACTAGATAGTTCCATTGTTTATTGAAAATCTCATTTCTGAGTTAGCGCCGCCCATTAAATTAATAAGCTCTGCCCACTTGGACTGCTGGGACTGCTCTCTGGGACCGCTGGGACCGCTCTGGGACTTCTTTAGCAGTCCCAGAAAGCAGTCCCCGGGACTGCTCTGGGACTGCTTTGTGTCATGTTGGGTCTGGTCGGTACTGTATATGATGGAAACTTGAAATAGGAACTTAGTATAGTGCTTATTTTACAAAAAAGAAAATGCCCAAGATGAAATTTACGACATCTTAATTTAGGTCTAACTCTACCTGTTGGCGTGGGAGTAGGACAAATTTAAATAAGTAGTAAAAAGTTGTAAATCAGGCTTCATCTCGATACTGTATATTGATTTGTTTTTGAATGAAAATGCCCCTATCTATTCAAAAAATATGTTATTATAATAATCATTTAATTTTACTTTATTTACATATCTAAACTACCTGTGTTTTAGATTGAGTGATTGATTTATTTATTATTTTATTTTATTATATTATTTTTTTTCATTATTTATTTCCTTGCCAAGGGATTTTTTGGTAGTGGATTTTGCCCCGAAACAAAAATGTATGGATATGCCCTACCCCCAACATTTTCCTTAAAATTAATATTTTATTTAATTCATATAAACTAGAACAAAAGCCTATTGGGCTCATTTTCGTTGGTTTTTAAAGACAAATATTTTTGGGTAATAACACGAAACATTCGCGATATAACTCGAAACATTTGCGATATAAGGTGTAACGTATGCGATATAACGCGAAACTTACGCGTTTTAACGCGTACTTTTCGCGAATAGACGTTATAACGCGTAGCTTTCTCGAATAAATGCAAAACTTACGCATTATAAAGCGAAACTTTCGCGTTTTTTCAATAATATTCTTATACTAATGCTACTCAGGAACCCTTGACTGACAGATAAGAATGCCGACGAGAACTTGAACTTAATTATAAAATATCATTTCCTCAGAAGATGTACTGGAGGAATGATGCGATGATTAGTCACTATACATTAGTCACCAGATTTTTTTTTTATTTCAAAACCTTACCAATTAATAAAATGAATTTTACTTTCTTGTACATTGTACATATTTTTCAGTTGTTAAATTCAAGAAATTCTTTATACTGATTATTTTATCTAAGAAAAATCTCAACTTGACACTTTCTCAAGCTAGCTGTTTTTTTACAACTGTACCCTAGTGAATTAAGCGATCCATCATTTTTGACTAAAAAGTATACATATGTATAATACAACATAGCTTAAAAGTGAGTGAACAATGTATCATTTCATCAGCTTGACATGCCATATAATGCTTTTTAGCTCACCTGAACCGAAGGCTCAAGTGAGCTTTTCTGATCACAATTTTGTCCGGCGTCCGTCTGTCCGTCTGTCTGTCTGTAAACTTTTCACATTTTCGACTTCTTCTTAAGAACCACTGGGCCAATTTCAACCAAACTTGCCACAAAGCATCCTTGGGTGAAGGGGTGTTAAATTTGTCCAAATGAAGGGCCACGCCCTCATTCAAGGGGAGATAATTGGGAATTAATGAAAAATTGGTGGCATGTTTTAAAAATCTTCTTCTCAAGAATCACTGTGCCAGGAAAGATGAAACTTATGGGGAAACATCCTCAGGTAGTGTAGATTCAAGTTTGTTCAAATCATGACCCCCGGGGGTAGGGCGGGGCCAAAATGGCCGACCAAAGTTTTACATAGACATATACAGGAAAATTCTTTAAAAATCTTCTTCTCAAGAATAGCAAAGCCATAATTGATTATATTTATATAGAAGCATCCTCAGGTAGTATAGATTAAAGTTTATTCAAATCATGACCCCCGGGGGTAGAGCGGGGCCAAAATGGCCGACCAAAGTTTTACATAGAAATATATAGGAAAAATCTTTAAAAATCTTCTTCTCAAGAATAGCAAAGCCATAATTGATTATATTTATAATGAAGCATCCTCAGGTAGTGTAGATTCAAGTTTGTTCAAATCATGACCCCCGGGGGTAGGGCGGGGCCAAAATGGCCGACCAAAGTTTTACATAGAAATATTTAGAAAAATTCGTAAAAAACTTTCTTCTCAAGAATAGCAAAGCCATAATTGATCATATTTATATGGAAGTATCCTCAGGTAGTGTAGATTCAAGTTTGTTCAAATCATGACCCCCGGGGGTAGGGCGGGGCCAAAATGGTTGACCAAAGTTTAACATAGAAATATATATAGGAAAATTCTTTTAAAATCTTCCTCTCAAGAATAGCAATGCCATAATTAATCATATTTATAATGAAGCATCCTTAGGTAGTGTAGATTAAATTTTATTCAAATCATGACCCCCCGGGGGTAGGGTGGGGTCACAATGGCCGATCAAAGTTTTACATAGACATATATAGGAAAATTCTTTAAAAATCATCTTCTCAAGAATAGCAAAGCCATGATTGGTCATTTGACAACTTTTGGATTTTAACTTTTCAATAATAAACCAATTTCTACTTTTTCCTAGCCACAGTGGTTAGGTGAGCGATGTGGCCCATGGGCCTCTTATTAAGTAATAAATATAAATGGATATTGTTACTAGTGTTACAAACTGATCGTCGAGGACGGGTCTACTATTCTTAATTTTTCTCCCATATTTATATATCCGAGGGGTCATTGAAAAGTTCGTGGACTAGCGCCATAAATCAGAATTATTAGGGTATATAGCAAAGAGTTTTTACACTTTGAATTATTATCAATGTTTTCGTAAGCAATGGAATGACAACGTGGCGCAACCTCAAAATACGATGTCGTATTTCTACAGTGAATCTAACACAGACAAATGAAAAATTGCAATCCAATTTTCAATTTTTCAATTTACCTTATTTTGTCAATTTTCTGAGATCTTGATCTTAACAATTTTATTTCAAATTCTGTGGAGAGTGTATATAAAAAAACGACTGAAAGGGTTGATTTTTCCCAAAAATCATTATCATGAAGTTTAACTTTTGAAAACCTCGCATTAACTTTGAATGGTTTGAATCACAAATCACAAAACAAAGTTCAGACTTATTAAAAAGTCTCGGTTAAACAGAAAAAGTTTCGCTATATCGCAAAAGGTTATAACTACATGTATAACACGAAAGTTTTGAGAATGCGTTTATTTGCGAAAGTCACGCGTTATAAGACGAAAGTTACGCTTTTATTTGCGTTCGCGAATTTTTTACCTAGGAAAATGAGCCCAATTGGCTTTGGTAGAAAAAAAAACTAACTTTGGGATATTTATTTTTAACAATATTCAGGGAGGTTGCTTGTATGTGGAATTGGGGCAAATTTTGTCGATTTATATGGAAAACGCTTTAGCAATTCGGTATCTAACCCGTGGGTTTATTCGCTACTGCTCAAATAGCCACTCAAGTTTACAAGCTTTAAGACAAACTTCAATTTGAAAGAGTTAAATGTGGTATGGCTAAATTTAAAACCAGAAGTATATTAACTATTTATAGAAAAAAGTTAGATATAAAGAACTATATTTATATATGTAGTACCATCAAATCGGGACCTTATTCGGAACTGGCTAAAAGTCTACATCGTCAATTAACCCAGCTGATTTTAATGTTGAAATCATGTTCTGTCATTTAATCCAATGGTAAGACTTCTGTCATAATTTAAAGGTTTTAACGTAACTTTATTAAACTTATAGCATTGCAAATAACACTTTTTTCTGCTTATAATTTAAGAGTTGTATACTGTATAAGGGTTATTTTCGCCCCGTGTTTTTTTTCGCCTTTTCACACTTGCAGACAACTTTGCCCCGTTTTGAATTCGCCCAGTCATACATGTAGTTCTGTTTAAGAAATTATACCGTATCATTTAAGTTCGCCCCGTTTTAAATTCGCCCAAATAAGAATAGGGCGAAAGGGGCGAAAATAAAACGGGGGCGAAAAATTCCCTGTATACAGTATGTAATTGGTTCGATGGTTAATAAGTAATCTTTTGGTGAAAATCAGTCTGGCACTAAAACATTTTGTCAGGTATGATCTGATGCCTTTCTGGTATATGAAAGATATTTGATTCTTTGATTGACCTCAACGCATTAGAGAATGCATAATTATGGGGGTGGGGGTGGGGGGTGATATAAGAAGCGCAATATTGATACCATTGCCATTTTAATATTACAAAAGTTAAAATTCAGTCTAGACTTCCCAAGCAGAATTAATTATTTCGAGAATATCACAATGAAAGTATATTAATTATATGATATATTAAATCGAATATTAACTGGTATATCGTGTTATTTAATTAATTTTGAATATCAATACTAGTAATATGTGTACATTCTGACAGGAATGCAGAATATTTATCAGGACTACATTCATGCTCTATTCATTACGTATTGCTGAAGGTTATGGCAAAAAATCTGTTAGAAATATAAAATCAAAATACATGTATTAATTTATCATTTAGTACAATGTATGTGTATGTTTTCTATATAAATTACTAGTCAATGTATATATTTTCAGCACAGAACCTGCAAATCCAGGTCCAACCACCAAATGTAATATTAGGGCAAAATGATATTATAATCACCTGTTCCACCATCAGGCAATCACAACTTGATACTGTGTATACTATACAGCTACAAAAAAACAGTACTGGCACAATACAGGATGTGGTTTCTGTTCGTTCAAGTAACGGTCAAGATACTATAACATGGCAGGACACAAGTTTACAAAACAGAGCAACAGCAACAGGTACTGTCAGCTCACCTGCCACAGCTCAGCTAAAGTTGACGATACCTAAGAACAGAGCGCTGTGTCCTCGAGATTTCACTGGATACAGGTGTAAGATGAGTGGATTCACAGCGGCGCTAGTTAATCAAGAAACAAATCAGGTGTATGTTACCTATACGGGTATGTAGTATACATTCCAAAATCCAGCATTGCATTTGTTTATTAATTGTAAATAATTGTAAATTCTAATATTAATTGTAAAATCTTGTTACATCTTGATGGATCTTAATTGTAATTAAGTAAATCCAACAACGATTGAAATGCCAAATGTGAGGATACTTGGTGAATTTTCTAATACACCATCAAGACAATTTCCGGTTGGAACGACTGTGCAGCTGACATGTACAGGACAGATTGGAAGTGAACCAACTGCTGTAAGTACATTATCTTAAATAACAATATAATGTCAGAAAACTTTATGTCAACATCTTAATCGAAATTCATTATCTACTCTTCAGACAATTCGATGGTGCTCGAAGAAGTCCCAAGATCTTGGCTTCACTGGGTTACCACAGACCCCAGTCCACTCGGAGGCCTGGCCATCTTCCAACTGTCAGTACACACGTTCCAGTACTATCACCTATAATCTCACCAGTGATGACACCTACACACAGTTCTTGTGTGAGTCTGGATATTCTGGTCTCTGCGAAACAGGAACAGCCAAGCAGTATCTGAATATATCTATAGGTGAGTTCTTTAATATTATTTTTCCGCTTGATATCCCATTTACATACTGAATGACATAATTTTTGTAAATCATATTAGTACTGGGTATTATTTTTTTAATATTATACATTTATGTAAATTAGTTGAATCGGATTTGTCAAGAAATATTTGGTTTTTTTTTTTTGGAAAAAAAAACACAGTGAGTTACCCGCTGAATAATGTTGCCACGCCTTCCTGGGTAGCAACAGTCAAAATTCCTTGATGACGGATGTTATTCCAAATTATAGTGACCGCGAAGAATTTATGTTTCTTTTACGAATCGTGTTCAGCCTAAGCAAGGGCACCGCAAAGCGAAGCATCCCCTCGCAAACAGCATTTATGAATCAAAACAGTATTCGGCATTGATCCCGATGCAAATTACTTCTCTCCCGTTTCGTATACAGCGCTTAATCTCACGCAACATAAGTTAAAGGTGCATAGACACAGATTTGAAGTTAATATTTTCTGTATAATATATCACGACTTGTATATTGTAATAGAATTCAACACGAAAATAAGTTAAAAATCTTATTTCATCTAAAAGTTAAGTTATTGAAAAGTTCGTGCTGTAACAAGCTAGATATAAAGAACGCCCGCATATATTTTTAGCACCGTCAAATCTGGACCTTAAATTCGGAACTTGCTAAAAGACTACTTCGTTAATTAACCCAGTTGATTTTTTATATTAAAGTCGTGTTCTTTTATTTAATCCAATAGGAAGACTTGTGTCATAATTTAAAGGTTTTAACGTAACTTTATTAGACTTAAAACATTGCAAACAAAACTTTTTCTGTTTATAATCTAAGAGTTATAATATGTAGTTGGTTCGATGGTTAACAAGTAATCTTTTGGTGAAAAAATCAGTCAACTAAAGCATTTTGTCAGATATGATCTGATGCCCTTCGGGTATAAAGGATATTTTATTCTTTTATTAACTTCAACCCATTAAAGAATGCATAATTATGGGGGGGGGGGGGGGGCAGAAAAAGCGCAAAACTTTAAAAAGGGAAATTTTCGCCCCCGTTTTATTTTCGCCCCTTTCGCATAATTAAAACGGGGCGAATTCAAATTACTTCTCATAATTTCTCAAACAGAACTATGACTGGGCGAATTCAAAACGGGGCAAAATTGTTCACAAGTTCAAAAGGGCGAAAATAACACGGGGCGAAAATAACCCTGTATACAGTATTAATAACTGCTATTTTAATATTACAAAAGTTAAAATTCAGTCTAGACTTCCCAAGCAGAATTAATCATTTCGAGAATATCACAATGGAAGTATATTAATTATATGATATATTAAATCGAATATTAACTGGTATATCGTGTTATTTAATTAATGTTAAATATCAATACTAGTAACATGTGTACATTCTGACAGGAATGCAGAATATTTATCAGGACTACATTCATGCTCTATTCATTACGTATTGCTGAAGGTTATGGCAAAAAATCTGTTAGAAATATAAAATCAAAATACATGTATTACATTATCATTTAGTACAATGAATGTTTTCTAAATAAATTACAAGTCAGTGTATATATTTTCAGCACAGAACCTGCAAATCCACGTCCAACCATCAAATATAATATTAGGGCAAAATGATTTTGTAATTACCTGTTCCACCATCAGCCCATCACAACTTGATACAGTGTATACTATACAGCTACAAAAAAACAATACTCGCTCAATACAGGATGTGGTTTCTGTTGGTTTAAGTAACGGTCAAGATACTATAACATGGCAGGACACAAGTTTACAAAACAGAGCAACAGCAACAGGTACTGTCAGCTCACCTGCCACAGCTCAGCTAAAGTTGACGATACCTAAGGACAGAGCGCTGTGTCCTCGAGATTTCACTGGATACAGGTGTAAGATGAGTGGATTCACAGCGGCGCTAGTTAATCAAGAAACAAATCAGGTGTATGTTACCTATACAGGTATGTAGTATACATTCCAAAATCCAGCATTGCATTTGTTTATTTAATCTAATATTAATTGTAAAATCTTATTACACCTTGATGGATTTTAATTGTAATTAAGTAAATCCAACAACGATGGAAATGCCAAATGTGAGGATACTTGGTGAATTTTCTAATACACCATCAAGACAATTTCCGGTTGGAACGACTGTGCAGCTGACATGTACAGGACAGATTGGAAGTGAACCAACTGCTGTAAGTACATTATCTTAAATAACAATATAATATCAGAAAACTTTATGTCAACATCTTAATCGAAATTCATTATCTACTCTTCAGACAATTCGATGGTGCTCGAAGAAGTCCCAAGATCTTGGCTTCACTGGCTTACCACAGACCCCTATCCATTCTGAGGTCGCATTGTCTGGCTGTCAGTACACACGTTCCAGTACCATCACCTATAACCTCACCAGTGATGACACCTACACACAGTTTTTTTGAATCTAAACATTCTTGGTCTTTGTGAAACAGGAACAGCCAAACAATATCTGAATATGTCCATAAAGATTCTATCAAATTGATCTTTTTTTTCTCATTTACATTCTTTGAAAACGAACTTTACAATACATTCTAAAATATCATATGACATATTTTATATTTGAAAAACTGGTCAATTTGAGTAAGGTTGTTGTATTCTTGTTGCAATGCTGCTAATGTTACATAAGAAATCAGAATTAAATTTTATTCATGGTTTGTTGTCTTTAAAATGTGTTACTAAAGATGTATGAAATTGCCAAATAGACTTTGTGATTTTTCAGATAAATGTGTAAATTTTACACTTTAAAGTGTAAAATTTATTCAGATTATTGTGTAAAGGATGAGTGCACTTATATATATATATACACACACACACACACACACACACACACACACATATATATATATATATATATATATATATATATATATATATATATATATATATATATATATATATATATATATATATATATATATCAGCTATGAAAGAAATTAAAAAGAATGTTTTGTGCAAAGTAAAACAGGAATTTCATTTTTATGTTTAATAAGAGAGACAATTTTCTGCCTACTTGGACACACTCCTTTTTTTTAAAGAGCAAGATTCATCTTATGCATAAAATGGCCCTGTACTTATATCAATTACTTAACTATCACCCTCTTTACCATTTCATATATCAAAATAAAGTAGACACTTGGTGCTTTCATTTTCTGTTATAAAATTTTGTTTTGAGAATCCGCATATTAGAAAACAGGCTTTGAGAAATTGCAATGTTCTTGAAATTTGCAGAAAACATGCGTATTGACTACCTTCAGCAGAGAATTAATTTATGAGCACCGCCCACGATCAAAAAAATAAAACACGTTTTTTGATCTTCAGAAACAGTGCTCTCATTATGTATTTGCATATTTTGGATCAGAGGTTGTGCTCTATATGAAATATTGAAAAAAAATGCTTCAACTTTAGGTCATTTTCAAAGGAATTTTCAGGATATGAGGAAAATGACACATTTTATGACGTCATAATGCATTGACTAGCCGTGAAATTACGTCACGATTAACAGATACGTAATCACCCACACTTCAAGTGATAAATACTGCATTTGCAACGTAAACTGAGCGGTTTTGATTTTTCAGAAATTCTCAGGGCCAAATAAGGCCCAAAGTGGCTCTTGCTCTTTCTACACTTTAATCTATAAAATTTACACATTAGTCTGTCAATTATCACTTTAAAGTGTAAATTTTGCACTTTAATCTGTATAATTAACACTTTAATCTGTACATTTTACACTTTAATCTGTAAAATTTACACTTTAATCTGTAAATTTTACACTTTAATCTGTACATTTTACACTTTAAAGTGTAAAATTTACACTTTAAAGTGTAAATTTTACACATTTATCTGTAAAATTTACACATTAATCTGTGAATTTTACACTTTATTCTGTAAATTTTACACTTTAATCTGTAAATTTTACACCTTAGTCTGTAAAATTTACACTTTAATCTGTAAATTTACACTATTCTGAACAACCTGTACTGTAATCTTTTACAATCAAATGGTTGTTTCTTGATGTTATACTTATGACATTTGAAAAATAGTATAAATATGAGATGTTCACAATTGTTTGCATAATTTATTTTACATGTACATTTATATTATTATGATAAATAAAGATGGACGATTTACTCATTGGCCTCGAAAATTTCCCCAGCAAAATATCGGAAATCTGCTTTCAATCCAGTTCATTTCTTTAGTTGTACTATAGTGCGACGAACAATAAAAATATATATATTAATTTTTTTCTTATTTGCCGTTCAGATTGATATTGCAAGTTGATGGGTCTACAATCATGATGATATAAAATATAACAATAAAATTACGGTCATTTTTAAAAATATCTTCGCTGTTCCAAAATTAATATAAACTCACATATTTTAATTATTTATATATGTATACACTTTACTAATTAACGTATTGATTGGTTATTCAAAAAATTCAATTCAAAAAGTAATAATTGCCGGTAATACATGTAGAATGTATTTACAAATAATGATTACAATAATTGAATTGCTGAGCGCATTAAACAAATATGCGTATGATGAAATCAATATCCTATTCATAGAGAATATTTGCATGTGTGTTTGATTTGCTCTTCGCTAAGAAAATCTTACTTGCATCAGTCATACTAATTTGCTTAAAATAAGATTGAAATTTCACAATGCATAATTCATGATTTGTTGGCTTGAAAATGTGTTAGGATGTTTGAAGTTGCCAATTTGACTATGTGAATGAATTAAATAAATGTGTAAATTTTACAGATTAAAGTGTAAATTTTACAGATTAAAGTGTAAATATCACAGATTAAATTGTAAATTTTACACTTTAAAGTGTAAAATTCACACTTTAAAGTATAAATTTTACAGATTAATGTGTAAATATCATAGATTAAAGTGTAAAATATACAGATTAAAGTGTAAAATTTACAGATTAAAGTGTAAAATTTACAGATTAATGTGTAAATTTTACAGATTAAAGTGTAAATTTCACAGATTAAAGTGTAAAATTTACACTTTGAAGTGTAAAATTCACAGATTAAAATGTATAAATAAAAAAAAAAGTAAAGTGTCCAAGTGGCACTAATACGCGTCCGTAGGTTATAGGTATTAAACAATGAAAATACCAAATAATGCCGAGCGACACTAGCTTTAGAGACGGGCGTCTAAACAGTTTCTATTTTTATTCATGATATGCACACCAGTTTTCAACGACATTGTTTACATCGAACCGCAACTTGGTCATTGGTCTCATTTGCAAAGAATGTGTATTTTAATTTAAAGTTATACCTGTCCAAAGGACAATGTTGGCCAAGTTGCAGCTCACATCTAATTTTTTTTTAAAAATGTCTCCAAACTACCGTCAAGTTAGCCAATTAATTAAAGCGACACTGTGTCGCACAAAGGGGAAAATTGACAAATGTAGAATTTTTGCATGACCCTTGTTAATTTTGTTCAATTCCTAAAAGTATTACTAGGTTTCAGAAAATTACAGGTTTCAGAACCTAAAAATTCTATTTTGAGGAGAAAAATAAAAGTAAAAATAAATTTTAGTATGCTCCAGCCCGAAAATATTGCTCAATACTACTTCCACCCCATTGTACACGTGCGCAGAAAAGTTGAATGAATTTCCATAGTTACCATGGTTTCAAGTACCCAGGAATGAATGTAAGTAGACCAAAAATTTAGAGGCAATCTTTAAAACGTTGTTAAAACACGTTTTTCACCTTTGCATCCTCCAGTTGAATGTTGTTTACAAGTTTAAGCGAAAGATAAAAGTGGCGTGACCTTGGCAAACATGAAACAACGAAACGGTAAATACATACTTTGTTTTTCCGGTGTAATGACGAAAAGTGACCCCCGTAGAATATTGACTGGGGGTCATTTTTTACGTAGAAATTTGACCCTCTGGTCAATATTCTACGTAGAAAAATGACCCACTTTTCTGTAGAAATTATGGCCTTGGGGTCATTTTTCTCCGTATGCATTGTAGAAAAATGACCCCTTGTCATTTTTAGCTCTACTGGTCAGAGACCCGAAGAGCGTATACGATTGTAAGGTGTCCGCCGTCCGTCCGTCTGTCTGTCCTTCTGTCTGTCCGTCTGTCTGTAAAAAATTTTCAAAACGCTACTCCTCCTACAGTTTTGGTCTGATTTTACTATAACTTGGCACACAAGTAGACTACACTAAGATATATAAAATAATGCATCGGTTTTTGAATTCGATGAACAGTGTTGCCATGGTTACTAAAAGTAGAATTTTCTGTGAAATTCCTTTAAAACACTACTCCTTCTACAGTTTTGGTCTGTTTTCAATATTACTGTTCACACAAGTAGACTACACTATGATACATAAAATAGTGCATCGGTTTTTGAATTCGATGAACGGTGTTGCCATGGTTACTAAAAATAGAATTTTCTGTGAAATTACTTTAAAACGCTACTTCTTCTAAAGTTTTGATTTGATTTCAATAGTACTTGGCACACAAGTAGACTACACTAAGATACATAGAATAGTGCATCAGTTTTTATTTCGATGAGCGGTGTTGCCATGGTTACTAAAAATAGAATTTTCTGTGAAATTCCATTCAAATGCTACTCCTCCTACAGTTTTGGTCTGATTTCAGTATTACTTGGCACACAAGTAGACTGCACTAAGATACATAAAATTATGTATCAGTTTTGTATTTCGATGAACATTGTTGCCATGGTTACTATAAATAGAATTTTCTGTGAAATTCCTTTAAAACGCTACACCTCCTACAGTTTTGGTCTGATTTCAATATAACTTGGCACACAAGTAGACTACATTGTACACTAAGATACATAAAATAGTGCATCGGTTTTTGATTTCGATGAACAGTGTTGCCATGGTTACTAAAAATAGAATTTTCTGTGAAATTACTTTAAAACGCTACTCCTTCTACAGTTTTGGTCTGATGGCAATGGCTTCTTTTCTCATCCTTTGTTATAAGTACAAACCAGTAGAGCTACAGTCTCGACAGAGACTTCTGGTTTGATACAAAATCATACGTTTTAGTAGGAATTCCACTGGAGTTTTATGAAGAGACTTACTTTTACAATCGACGACTGACTTTTACAATTTATACATAGACCAACTCCATTACTTAAAATGTAAAAGCCAGCTGTCGATTCTAAAAGTAAGTCTCTTCATAAAACTCCGTTAGGCGAATGTATACGGGTAATATCAAGCTGATTTATGTTTTGAAGTGTTATTCCTGAAAGCTTTTAAGCCTAGATAACGAATTCAAAGCTATACAATACCTTACATTAATAATACAAACTGTTTTATCTCCATAAAAGGAAAACAATCTTAAAATGTTCTAGCTAAAGGCTATATTAGAGCAAAGATACGCGCATTCATAGAAACGTTTATTACATTAGTAA